AAGACCCACTCTATATATATGTACCTAAACAATAAAATAAAATTATTTGATTCTAGCAATTTCTGGTCTAGCCCAACAGGAATTTTCTTATAAAGTCCTACCCTGTATATTTTTACTGTTTTGAAACAAAAATTCTACCAATGCATTGAGGCAGCAATAATTGTTCAGGTTTTACCCATACTTTGTACTTCCGATAATTCAAGTCAAACTGACAACGTTTTTAAAATTTGCTTTTGATAAAAAAAATAGTATAAAAGTCAACAACATATGGGTTATCCAGCAATCTTTTGTATGTGTAAATTAAGCAGGTAACCGTCTTTGGACTCTACTTAGTGGTGTTTTACAAGAAATAACTTTTATTTTTTAGATTTCTGTCTCAGTAACGAAATAGATCTAGAGATAACCTAGGTTTTTTTCAATAAATAAACAATCAAAGGAACATATAATATTTAATGTTTTTCTTACATTTCTAGTATAAACAATGGCTCTGTCTGTAAGATTTCTCGTACCTATATCTGTCCTAATTTTTATTCTGTAACTTATGAATGGAGGTTTGTCAATTGAATGTACTAAAGATTTCTGCAAGAATGTAACCTGCGAAGTGAACGTTACATCCTGCCAAGAAGGATATCATTTGATGCCTACAATATGCGGATGCTGTCATTACTGTGCAAAAGATATACGTAAGTATATAGACAGGGTGAATCTTAAATAAGTGCAAATATTTTTAGGGGTGGTATATTTCTCCAGAAACACGTCTATGATTTTTCTTTCACAATTTTTTTATTTTCCTGTTAAATTTTTAAATTTTCTGTTAAAAAATATAGTATTTTGAAAATGTGGCAAAATATGTATTAGATTAAATTTAGAGTGACCAAAAACAGAAAAAACTTGTTGGACATATTTTAAATCAGTTATTCTAATATAATTTCTAGCCTTTTTATTTAAAGGTAATATGTATTTTTGTGTTTTTAGCTGAGAATGGATCTTGTCGCAACATAGGTGGATTGGGAGTTCCCTCGAATACCCAATGTGCTAAAGGTTTAGTATGTTGCAACGGCACAATTTGTTTGAAGCCAGAAAATTGTAGAAAATAGAAAAAAAAAACGATAATTTACATAGTATTTTTAAATAATTATCCAGATTATTAGTTTAGTTTGACATGTATTAACTTTATAATAAAGTAGTTTTAACCAAAATACCGTATGATCGAATAAAAACAGCGTCAAAGTCGGCTGGGGAACGACAATCGATAATAATATTTTGGCTCATTTTAAAAAATTAACACTAATGAAGAAGATGCATATATTTTATTTTTCGCCAGAAACTGTTCAATTTATTAGAATAAATATGTGTAAATGCAAAAAAAACCTTTTTTCTTGAAAGCAGTACCACAATTTTATAAAACGGGCCATTAAAATACTATGGATAACGCAAACGACGCCTCGCGAATTGAAACGATATTCTATTGGTCTGACGTCACCCGCCGTTCTCGTCGACGCGCGATGGCCAGCAGCAGCCAGACGTGTTCCGTTTATGTACGTATTTAGGAGGCGTACTAAGACATTTTTGTTGCTTGAAGGAGCTTTTTATGCTTTTTTGTGCAGTTATTATTTGTATGTGTTGTGTGTTCTGAGAATTTTTTAAGTAATGGCAGATTCCGGGTTTGTAAAAGCACAATCAGATAACTTGGCAAAAGTCGATGCTTTTATGTTGGCTGCTTTTATAAATACATATTCCCAATTTATTGGTGCTGAATTACTAGGAAAAAAATAGAGAGGTATGAAACATTTATTCTTTGTAGTACTGAGGCATATTTAAGTATAAGTAGGTACCTACTGTTACGAACTTTTTATATAGTTATAAATTAATGTTATAAACTTATTTTTCAGATCAGACGTATGGAGATAATGCTGTAGGTTATGTAGAAGTGAAAAGAGACAAAAATATTTGTTTAGTACGTGGAAAAATAACTCCAGAGCATAGCGTGAAAAAGAAAGTTTTTTTTTATATATTGACACCCCCTTGCCCTTGTTATTTTCAAAGATTGTTTTTTTACGAAATTATAGGAAATAAATTGTTTATCAGTAATGAAAATATTATACAAGGTGTCCCATAATTACGCCAAATTAAGTTACTTTTTTAAGTGAAAACCCCTATATATTTTTGCATCCTTAGGAAATTTCTAGATATTCTAGATATATTTCATGTATAATATCCTATACCTATCTTCAAATGTTTACGAAATATTGACAGTTGAAAAGCGAAAAATACCTACAATTTTCTGCACCACCTTTTTTGAGATACCCTGTATAACTAGAATTAATTTTAAAAGAGAGTATATGAAAAACCATGCAACTTTTTTATTTAATGTTTTATTCTAAAACTTGCAGTTAAGGCTGTATGTGGGTGTCAAAATATAATGAAAAACCCTGTACATTCAAATTTCATATACCTATGTAAGACAATATACATAAATATATGAACTTACATCAAAATGATCTTCACAACAATAAATCGTAAAAATAGAGGATAATTTAACGTTTTTCTTTGCATCTCTTCTCATGGCCTTGGACCATTTTTTTCTGTTTTCACTCATCCATTACTATTTAAAAATATCACTAATTACTAATTATGTATTAATTAACACAAATAACTAAAATTTTGACTCGGATTCAACAGCGTTTAAAAGCAAACTGTGTAAAATAAACACGCGTCTGGCTCCACTCAACCAGAAGAACGGCGGGTGACGTCACAGCGGCAAGGCGCAGTAGAGAGCGTTTGCCCGGCCATTTAAATTAACAATATTTATAATTGTATATTAGAGGCATATCTTAACCGATATCAACGATTTTTTGTTCAATTTGTAATTATATGAACTATTTTTAAAACCATTATTTAAAAACATGCATTTTTCCTCATTATAAGAAGATTAAAAAAGGATAGAACGTTTCCAGACATACAAATCTATTTCCAAAATTATTTTTTTCTCGAAAACTACAACATTTAAACATCATTTTTACTCAATAGAAAAATAAATTATAAACTTCTTAATGCCAACTGGCAGTAAGTGCCATTAAAAAACAAAGAAGAATACTTGCTAAGTAATGACGTCTAGGGCTTAACCTCGCCAAAATTATAATCGTTTGTCATTCCCCAGCCGTCTTTGACGCCGTTTTTTTTTTCGATCATATGGTATTACAATTATTTTATGTTTATTATTTCTTTTGATTGATATTCCTTGCTGTTATATTTATATTGCAATCTGTCATAGACGAGTTTAAAATACTGTTCAATTTAAATTTTGATTATCATCCATAGATTACATCAGATTTTGTAAGGTTGATATTCGCCTGTTTTACTATGACTTCGACAGCTTTATTGTGGCCTTCTTGCCGGACTTGGAGACGAAGCTTTCCATATAAGATTCCTTTTTCATTCCTTTTCCATTAAGATTCACCCTGTCTATATGTACTTACGTATTCTTTTGCACAGTAATGACAGCATCCGCATATTGTAGGCATCAAGTGATATACTTCTTGGCAGGATGTAACTTTTGCCAGTGCCTTTTTACGGACTACACTAACATAAAATGGCTATAGAATATGGTTATTCTATTTTTAAATAGTAAATTTACCTATCCCCAGAAAATTCATTGTATATGGAAACCCTATTCAACCAATTTTTTTTTTATAAATATCGTATTTGTTATAAGATAATTTCGAATGATTTTTAAAATATATTAATTGTCAAAAAAATATATTCAGCAATAACTAATTTTCTGAAAATAGATTAGTATGTCTCTTTTAAATAAAAAATAGTACATAATATCAATTTACGTTTTTTATGTCTTTTACGTATATTTATATTTTGTTTTAATAGAAAAAATTATTACCAATGTATTGAGATATAATTTGTTACTTTTGCCAATTTTATAGTTATTATGTGTTTCAGTAAGTCAAGTACAAATTAGTAACATATTTAAAATTATTGCCTTTTAAATTTCGATAAAAAATAATATAAAAGCCGATATTATTATTCGAAAACACAGTTTTCTATTCATAAACAAACAGGTAAGTAAATACAAACTCAGTGTTCATTCATTAATGACTAATATTTCTGAACGACACTACTTTTTTTGAAATGGTTTTTTTTATAAATGAAGAATATAATCTAGGGAATAGAATATAATCTAGGAGATGACCACAATAGACTTGTAAAGGCCTCAATATTCACATCAAAAAAATTATCTATCTAAACAAGCCTTGACAGATTTAACTACTAACATATTCAAAGTTTAAGACATTTAATTTTTAAGAGTTTTATACTAGTTATATTTTGATATACAAATTGTTTTTTTCTAACGTTTATATATATTTTTTTAGTAAATTTATGGTACAAAATATGGCATTGTCCGTAAGACTCCTTGTGCCTATATCGGTAGCAATTTTTATCCTGTCACTTATGCAGGGAGGATTGACAATTGTATGTCCTAGAGATTACTGTAAGAATGTAACCTGTGAAGTGAACGTAACATGCTGCACAGAAGGATATCACTTGATGCCGACATTTTGCGGATGTTGTCATCACTGTGCGAAAGATATACGTAAGTATATAATACACGGTGACCTATATGAGAATGCACACAACAGGGATCTCGTAAACCAATAAATTAGAGAAAAGTTGTATCTTCTGTACCCTAACAACGAAATTTTTATATAGGACACCGTGTATAGGGTGTGCATTTAGTAAAAATGTTTCAAAATATTTCTTCTTCCATGGTAATAAATTATAAAAGTTTTTTTCGATAATGCCAATTTTTGACTAATGTCCAACCCCAAAGAAACACCCTTTAAAATACTATACGTAAATTACAGAATTTTTGTTAAATCAGCTACTTAACTTAAGTTCAAATTCTTATCTTTTGATTTAATGGTAATATATATTTTTGTGGTTTTTAGCTGAAAATGGATCCTGCCGTGACTTGGGTGGGCTAACAATTCCTTGGAACACCCAGTGTGCTAAAGGTTTAGTATGTTGCAACGCCACAATTTGTTTGAAGCCAGAAAATTGCAAAAAATAGAAAAAGAATCTATAAATATACACATTATTCTGAAATAAATATTCATATTTTTAGTTTAGTTTGACATGTATTAACTTTATAATA